TTGATCCATTGAAATTTTAGTTTTGTACACAATGAGAGATATGGGTCTACACATAAACTTTTGCATGCATATAGCAGTTTCCCGGCATCTTTTATTAAAGTGGCCATCTTTCCTCCAGGGCATGTTTTTGGCCCCTTTGTCAAAGATCAGATGACATAATGTGCTTGGGGTTATTTCTGCATCTTCTATTTTGCTCCACTAATCCACATGTCTGTTTATTTTTCTTTTCTTTTCTTTTTTTTTTTTTGAGTTTATTGGTACTTTTTAGGTATACAGTATAGTTACTTTCATTACTGGGATCTTGTACCTTTACATGACAGGTCTTGGTTCTTATTTTTTCCCCGTCCCCCCCCCCTCCCTTCTGCTTCATCATAGCGTGACACTGAATAGATTGTTTTTTCATTTTCTCATATTTTTTTCTTTTCCCTTATTACCTTTCCCCTACCCTTCCCACTTTCCCTCCACCTTTAGCCCTTTTTTCCTATTTCACATTGTTAATTATCCCATTAGGATCTTGTGGACTCTTATAGTTTTTCACACCAGAGAAACTATTTGGTATTTACACGTGTCTTATTTCACTTAGGAGTATATCCTCAAAATGTATCCATTTTCCTATGAATGATTCTAATTTCTCCTTCTTTATGGCTGAGTAGTATTCCATTTTATAGAAATCTTCTTTATCTGTTTCTGTACCAGTAGAGTACCATGTTATTTTTATCACTTTGGTTTTATCATGTAGCTTGAAATCTGGGATTATGATGTCTCTCTTTCATTCTTATTGTTCATAATTGCTCTTGCTATTCTGTGTCTCTTCTGGTTCCATATGAATTTAGGATTGTTTTCGTAGTTCTGTGAAGAATGGCACTGATTTTTTCTTTGTTTGTTGCTTGTTTGGCTTTTTTTTACCAGGGATTGAACTCAGGACCATGCACCTGCGAGGCAGAGGCAGGTGCACCACTGAGCTAAATCCCTGGCCTGGTATTGGTATTTTGACTGGGACTACATCAAGTTTTCGAAGTATGGCAAACCACCAGGGTTACCTTTATATCTTCTAATGTCCTCTTTGATCTACTCTTTTAGAATACTGTAATTTTTGTTGTAGAGGTCTTCAATTCCCTTGGTCAAAGTAATTCCTAGGTAATTTTTCTTGATACTGTGAATGGTATTACTTCCCCAATTTCTTTCTCAATGAGTTCATTGTTGGTATACAGGACTGCTATTGATTTTGTAACCTGTTACCTTGTTGGATTTATTAGTTCTGAGTCTTTTGGTGGAATTTTTGGGGTCTTTTATATAAAGGATCGTGTCATCTGCAAACAAGGATAGTTTGGCTTCATCCTTGCCTGTATATATCCCCTTTATTTCTTTCTCTTGCCTGACTGCTGTAGCTAAAGATTTAAATTCCACAGTGAACAGGAATGGCGACAGTAGACATCCTGATAGGAGAGGAAAGTGTTTCACCTTTTCCCCTGTTAATATGATGTTGAAAATAGGCTCGTACTAAATCTTTTATCAAATTTTATGCTTAAGATATAAAGCTTAAATACTGAATCTCTCCCTGTGCTCTTCACACACAGAAAACAATATTCAATACTGTTCTTCAAAAATAAAACCATTTAAAGGTTTAAACTTGAACCAAAAAGAGAAATCTGTGAATATTAACTAACAATTCTAGCTTTTAAATCTTATTTTCTGAAATATAAGTATATTTGGAGGACAGTGGTAGTCTTGGAAGTTAGCATTCTTTATGTCTAACTTTGGCAATAGAGTCAAGTTTTAAATTTTCAGTTAATGTGTCAAATGAAAATAGTAAGTTAAACCTACAAAATACCAGTCCAGCTAAGATGGAATCAATACTATCTGTGAAGACAATGATCAGATTCAATAAGGTGTTATGGAGTCTGAGATATTATCTTATTATAAAACAGAATAAAATGAACTCCCATGAAGACAAAATAGGAACGCTAACAAAATGAGTGAAATGACCTCTTCTTTCTAGTTTAAAGATTAATGGGATCTCTTTAGCATGTCTACCTGGGCTTTCTATGGTATCTCTCCTTCTCCAATTAATATTTTCATTATCAGTAGCAGCAGTCATGGTAAACATACAAAATTTACCAAAGATATCAAAGATTAAAAAAATGAAAACAAATATCTAAGAATTCTACAAAACAAGATTAAACAGCAAATACTGATTGATACATCTACTGGGAAGGAAAATAAAGGATTCACATATTAAGTTGTAATAAAAGGCTGAGTTCAGATTTATAATATTATGCAATATAAATATATGATATGAAAACATATTTTAGAAATACTAAACAATATCCATGGTATGCAGCTCAGTGGTGCCTCACTTGTAAAATGCAAGGTCCTGAGTTTGGTTCCTGGTACCAAAAAGTAAAATAAAAAAAACAATATTCACTTTGTGATGGTTACTAATGACTTCAATAGTGACTGAAAAATTTACTGAAAATAAATTATTGGCTTTCTCTACAAATGAACAGAATATTGTGCTAATAATTCCAGTAACATGCCAGGGATTTAGTTCAGTGGCACTGTGCCTGCCTCGCAAGCACGAGGTCCTGAGTTCAATTCCTGGTACAAAATGATGATGATGATGATGATGATGATGATGATGATGATGATGATGATGATGATGATCCCTGTAACAAGTTGGCAAATAGGGGTCCTGGAGTAACATTAGCCATGTGAGGCAACAACCCATACCTTGTGTAACCCTTGAAAATAAATGGATGGAAGCCCGACACGAAGTACAGCAGCGATGCAGCAGCATCCCAGAGTGTACTATGTCTGTTATATGGGTAAAATGGATAAGGGCAGAGTTTCAAGAGCACAGGAAAAGTGAAAAGTTGAGTATTTGTTACTTTTTCTTTGTAACATAAGCTATTTAACTGTAAGTTTGTATCATTTAATTTTAACAGTGGCTGTGTTTAACAAGTGCTTCATAAAAGTCCTCAGATTTTAACACGTGGCTCTCATTAACTGGTACAATTTGACTCTAGTACAGTTCTGAGACACACCACGATGGAGAATCAGGACTGCATTCAAAGTGCAGTGGGAAATCACTCGAGAGCTTTAGGCAGAACTGATTTTTATTTTTACTGGAGTCAATGAGCTGCTGTATGGAGAATAGGTTACAGGAAAGAAGATTATGTAAGTTTAGTAAGAATCTGTCCCTTTTATTTTGTTTGAAGCTGTAATCTACAATAAGCTACACTCAACTATTTCTCTCAAAAAAAGGCTACCCAGGGCCAGGGATTTAGTCAGTGGTTTAGGTGCCTGCCTCACAAGTACAAGGGCCGGAGTTCAATCTGTGGTACCAAAAAAACAAAAAGCTACCCAGAAACAGATAATCAATATAGAAAATCGCCTGTAATCCCAGCACTTGGGAGGCTGAGGCAGGGGGATCACTGTGAGTTCAAGTACAGCCTGGGCTACATAGTGAATTCCAGGTCAGTATCAACTACATAGTGAGACCCTGTCTCAAAAAACAAAACAAAACAAAAAAAACCAAACCCCCCCCAAAAAAGAAAGAAAGAAAGAAAAGAAAATGTAGCTTTGCACAGTGGCAGTATCGTAGCCAATGAGGTTTATCCGAGGCGCGATTATTGCTAATTGAAGAGAAAATGTGCTACAGTGGGAAAAACGTAATTTTGGAGTTATAACAATAGATATGAATGCCCAGGTAAGGTTTTAGTTATTAGCTGAATGATCTTGAGCAGGTGACTTTTCAGTGCCTGAACTCTTTAGTGCTAAAATCTTAAAAATAATAATACATGTGTATACTATCAGAATTAAATGAAATAAGCTGCCGGGCATGGTGGTATAAACCTGTAATCCCAGCATTCGGGAGGCTGAGGCAGAAAGATCACCGTGAGTTCGAGCCCAGCCTGGGCTAAATAGTGAGTTCCAGGTCAGTATGAACTACCTAGTGAGACCCTGTCTCAAAAACAAACAAACAAAAAAAGAATTAAATGAAATATATGTGCATACTATTGGTGATCAATAAATGCAAATTCTCTTCCCTTTCTCTCTTTGAAAACAGACACATCACAACTACTAGAGTGCTTTACACAATGGTACTCAAAAGAATAAATAAACGCAAAAGTAAAAGTTTTACCTGATTACAACTTCCAAAATTACAATTTAGATTTTAACAGTCTTACTTAGGTAAAACCTTTCTAACTGTTACACTGAACTGTTAGAATGACATGTTCTTAAAAGTAGCAAAAGTGAGGCCAGGGATTTAGCTCAGTGGTTCCGCTGCCTGCCTTGCAAACACAAGGAACCGAGTTTGATCCCAGTACCAAAAAAAAAAAAAAAAAAAAAAAAAAAAAAAAAAGTAGCAAAAATATGCTATTCTTTACATAAAAAACAGTATTTCTTATATATCACTGGGAAGAATGCCTCCTTTCCAACCTTTTGTTAAATCAACAGTAACAAATTGCACTTTTTCTGTTTTCTTTGTAGTTAGGATATACAGGCTCACGGTGAATGACTGGGTGAATGACTATGTAGCACAGCTCTGTCTTTGAAACTTCACCGATCTTCTGAGGTTGATCATAAATAGAATTTGGACTTCAAAGTCTTTATTATTCCCCTTAACTTTGTGAGATCTTTGCTTTCTCTGAAAGCCAAAAATTTTTGTTACATACATTGTATTATCTGCCTATCCCTACCCTCTGTAATTTGTATGTTCCTGAACTTTCTGCAATAGACCTTAACATACAGCCTTCAACAAATACCCAGTGTGATGGTTGATTGATTGTTTCAATTTGAGTAAGTAAGGCCCACATACACTGGCTCAGCATAGTTCTGGTGTGAAGGACCCATCCTAGTTAGCACTTCTTCCAGAATGGTATAAAAGAGAAACAAGGAAGAAAAGATTGCTTCTGCTTTCTTTGGAGAAGCACCATTCTTTACTTTCACCTTGGATGCCGTCTTCTGGCTTCCAGAGCAAACTCTTCTGCTTCCAGGACCAGCCCTGCAGCCTTCTGACACAGACCCTTCAGCTTTCCATCACAGACTTTCGGCCCCGATACTGAACAGCACTGGACACTACACTGAGCTCCAGGCCTTTGATTGGATCCTTTGGACCCCTGCTGCACAGACAGACGTCTTGCACTCTTCCACACTCGACTCTGTGGGTGACCACTGTAAGCCAATTTCGTAAATTCTTACATATTTGTACATCTTGTATTAAATCTGCTTTCTGACTGATACACCAAGTATATTAAATAGTTTTTAAAAGATAACTTTTGCAAAACTCTTAAGTACATTTGCCTATAAAAATGAAGCCATGCCACATGAGTAAGGCAATCTGTTAGGTATTGCCAAAGTTTGTAAAAGTTAACAAAAGCATAGAAAGTGGCATGAAAGCTTGAAGCAAGTAGCTGCTAAATGCAGCAATATAAAATATAAGGAATTTTTGTATTAACTATATTTTATGTTGACTAACAACTTATCCCTAAATTAATGTAAAGAAAATCAAGATCTGAGACCCAAAACCTGGATGTACCATCAGTCATCTTACTGTATGCAATTTACCCATTAGGAGTGATATCTCCCACCTTAAAAAGAAAAACATTAAAGTGGCTATTTAACCTATTATAGTGATTAATATTTTATTCAGCAAGACAATCTAATTTATCATTGGCATGCAATTAAAGCATAACAAAAATAATCGAACAATATATTTTAAATAAAATATGAAGATGCAGGAACACGGTAGGTATTTAATATTTCATACCCATTTTTGCCATGTATAGTTATTTTGTAATGTAATTATTGTTATATGATTGGAAAAAGAAGAAGATAAACATTAAAATCTTATAATTTAAAATCTCAAACTATTATTCATGGTGCTATGAAACACAAAAAATACCTCTCGGGCGTGCATAATCAAGCGTGCTGTAATCACCGTGTGGTAGCAGATGTTGATAACGAACTGCCATCTGTGCTAATGGAAAAGATCACCGAATGGAGAACAGCTCCAAGCCTCACTGCTTACCTCCACAACGAACCACAAAACAAAGCACTCTAAGTACTATGAAAGTCTTTGAGACCATACATCAAGGTATTTTTAGAAGTAAATTTGTGTTTTGATAATTAAAAATAATGTCCATATTTAGGATATTTTATTATTCATATCCCTTTGAATGTTCCCTTTTTTCTATAAAGGCAATGAACACTCCACTGACTTTCTTAAGTTTCTTCAACAAAGATAGTTGTTAGTCACTATTTTGAAAGTTATAAGCTCATGAGTCTTCATCTTCTGTTTATACACAAGAAAGCAAACAGAATGAAAACTATGAAACATTTGTTTATTTTCTCTTCCAAATGCTAAAATACATTTAAATTGAATGTCTTTAGCCAGCAAACACAGTCATTGAACAATATATTAATTTCCCATATGTTAACAATTTAGAAATTAGTAGGAGCAGAGGCCAAAATAAAATTGGCTGGGCAAATACAAGTAAAAATAATAGTAATAACTATCGTATTTATGATTCCATTTGATTCTCACAAAAACCCTTTGAAATAGCTAATATTTCACATTTTGAGCATGTAAGAACTACTGAAGTTCAGAGAAGTTAAGTGACTTGCCAGTAACTATAGATCTTTTAGGTTAAGCTTGGATTTACTATTGTTACTATGCTCTTTTTGTGCTATGTACAAAATAAGTTATTCAATAAGGTATTCAATACAACAACCCTAGACGAATAAGAAAATTATTTCAACTTTATAAATGGAGTCCCTGAAGTTCAGTTTAGAAATCTTCCCAAGGTCTTATAACTTGATAGATATTAAGCCACAATTCAAATTCAGTTACACTTCACATCCTTTGAAGGATTTCAGCTTTAAAGTGCCAGATAAGCAAAGGCACAAAGGGGAAGGATAGGGGAAAAGAAAGATGGGAATGGAATTAGCATGGGAAAAAGAAAAAACAGGAAATAAAGTCTTTGTAGATGGCGGGGTGGGGGGGGTGGGAAGTGGAGAGGTTGAAGGGAGGGCAGGGGAAGGGGGAAAAAGTAAGAACCAAGATGGATCATGTAAAGGTGCAAATTTCATGATGAATG